TCCATCCCCAAGCGGGGTAGAGAAAACTAACCTTGCAGAGAAATTTCTAGAAGTCTCCATGGCGGATGGCCCTCCCCATGCAACGCCACTGCTGAGAAAACAACTCAGACAAGGTGGAACTCACTCCCTGATTGTCTGTCTGGGACACTGAGCATGGCTGGTGCCGTTTCACTTCTTCGGGGAGAGTTAAAAACAAGAAAATGGGTTGAGACCATGTTGAAAACTTAAAGTAATGTGATTGGGAAAAGAGAGACAGAAAGGAGCGAAAAGATGTAACCTATGCTCAGTTCTCAGTGGACACCCAGGTCTTCCCAAGGATGGGCTAAGACTTTTCATGCTGTTTGCCCAGCTCAATCAATCCGCAGTGGCTATGTCTTCTGTAGTCTGGGCAGGAGGTGTGCCAAACAAGCCCCAGGCCTGTCTGCAGCCTGTCACCCTCCCCTTCAAGGCGTCTTCCCCTGAGCCCAGATGGGAGATGGCTCATCTCCAGGGGCTGCACAGTAAGTAGCCTCCAGACCCTGTTTCAATGCAAAGCAGGGGGCAGCTTTCTTGGCGTGACCTTAGGGAAGATGGGTTACCCCCCCAACAGTGCCCACTAAGCATCATGTTCCCCAGTCCCCCTTTAGGACTTCTCCTTGAGGCCCAGCAACTGTGGCCACCAAAAAATGTCTGTGAAAGAACCCACGTTCTCCAGGAAGAGCAGCATGTCTATTATCAACCTCATGAGCCTGGACTAGTTCTAAATCCGCCCCAGCCATCTCAGAGCAGTACACAGGGTCCCAAGGCCAGGGCACGCTTAACAAAGCAGTGGTTTAAGTTTGTAGAGCGCTTTCCAGTTTCTAAGCTTTGAAAAACTGTCAGAGCTGAAGCTCTGAAGTCAGATGGCCTGGATTCAAATCCCACTTCTGCAGCTTCCTTGTTGATTTCTCACTGAATGTGAGCATGACTGTGGTTACCCTCTGGATTGTGGTGACGCAGGTAAGGCACTGAGATCAGTCTCTGACCCGTGGTAAAACGTGACAGACATGGACTGATGGCTCCCCCAACTCTGGGGCTCATGTGGACACAGAGAGGTTCAATGCCTTTGCTGATGACAAACAGAACTATAGGAAAGCACAGACATGAGCCTTCTGGTGTACTGGGAAGGAGGGCGAGTGTGTGTGTGGGGGGGGTGAGGAGAGAGAGAGAGTGTATTTGTGTGTGGATGTGTATATATGTGTGTTTGAATGTACATGGGAGTGTATGTGTGTGCATGTGTGTGTGTGAGAATGTGAGTATGAAGGTGTACATATGTATATGTGTGAGTGTGTGTGCATGTGTGTGTATATGTGAGTGTGTGCACATGTGTATGTGTGTGCATGTGAGTGTGTGTGTGTGTGTGTGTGTGTGTTGAGGAGAATGATATCTGAGTGACCAGAGAGCAATGGATCTCTGGGAAGAGATCAAGTATGGAAAAGGGAGAGAGTTATCCCAAAAAGAGAAAGCTGAGTGCTTTTGTGGGAAATCAAGGTTTTCCCTTCAAAGACCCAGGCCAGCATCTTCCCAATGCCTTCTGGGTAGCTGACTAATGTACACAGACCTATTGACGTAACAATACTCTGCAAATTGATTCTATGATGCCACCGACGTGGCATGCAGGCAGGCGCGACAGGCTGCCTCAGCGAGGCCTCTCCAGAGAAGCAGAACCCATAGATGTGGGATTTATTTGAATGAACTAGCTTACATGCTTATGCTGGCTGCAAGTCCAACATCTACAGGGTGGGTCTGCAGGCCAGAGACTCACTCAGACAAGAGCTGATGGGGCGGTGTAAGTTCCCTCTTTCTCTGGGGCAGTCAGTCTTTTGTTCGATTCAAGCCTTCAACTGACTGAATATGGTCACATTGTGGAGGACAATCTGTTTTACTCAAAGTGCACCAATCTGGAAGCAGTGCTTAAGATGCAGGTTCACGGGGCCGGCACTGTGGTGTAGCAGGTAAAACCGCCAACTGTAGTACCGGCATCCTATATGGGCGCTGGTTGGAGTCCCAGCTGCTCCACTTCCGATCTGGCTCTCTTCTATGGCCTGGGAAAACAGTAGAAGATGGCCCAAGTCCTTGGGCCCCTGCACCCGTGTGGGAAACCTGGAAGAAGCGCCTGGCTCCTGGCTCCTGACTCCTGGCTTTGGATCAGTGTAGCTCCAGCCTTTGCGGCCAATTGGGGAGTGAGCCAGTGGATGGAAGACCTCTCTCTCTCTCTCAGGTTAAAATACCCATGTCCAGGGGTGGATGTTGTAGCCCAATGGGTTAAGCCACCACCTGGGATGGCTGCACCCCATATCAGAACATCTGGGAGTGAGTCCTGCCTCTGCTTCTGATCCAACTTCCTGCTAATGCACCTGGGAGGCAGCAAATGTTGGCCCAAGTACTTGAGTCCTGGCCACTCACATAGGGTACCTGGTTTCTGGCTGTGACCTGGTCCAGTCTGGGCTGTTGTGGGCATTTAAGGAGTGAGCCTGCAGATGAAGATCTTGATCTCCACCTCTACCTAACCTTCTGTCTCCCTCTCCCTCTCTCCATCTCTTTGCCTTTCAACTAAATAAAAGTGAATGAATACTTTCACAAAAGATGTCCATGTCCCACATCAGAACACCTGGTTTAATAGCCAGCTCTGGCTCCTAACTTCAGCTTCACATTAACGCAGACCCTGGGAGGCAACGATGATGGCTTAAGCAACCGGTTTCCTGCCACTCCATGTGGGACACCTAGATTGAGTTCCTTGATCCCAGCCTGGACTAGGGCCATTGTGGCATTTGTGGAGTCAACTAGCAGATGAGAACTAATTCATTCTTTCTCTGCCTCTCAAATAAATAAATTTCTCTTGAAGTTCACCACTGTAAATGTTACTCTCACACGTAAACATCCAGAATTATGTCTGGCCACATATCCGGACACTGTGACCCAGCCAAGTCAACACAAAATGAGCCATTACATATGCCCTAGGTATTTGCCTTCAAAGATCCAGTATTACAGAAAATTATGAGATCTACAGAGACTTCCAAAAAAGAAAAAAGGAAATAAACCCCACAAAATCCGAGACAGTGGCAGGGAGCTGAATGGGGGCATCCAGTAGCATGGGAGGCAGGCAGTAGTGCAGGAAGTGTTGTAGCTCTTAGGCAGGGTGGTGAGCTCACAGGTGTTCATTTTATCCTAATGTTTTGTAACTCACATACACATCTTCTTGTCTTCATACAAAGTATCACATATTAAAGATAACAGAAGTGGAAAAGTCAAGCTTTCCAGCCTTGTGAGTAGGCTTACTACCTCCATGTAGCTTTGACTGATCGCTCCTGGAGAAATCTGTCTCTGATCTACTGTTTACTCTACGCAGGGGCTGATATCATTAGATGGCTTTGCCTGTGCTTAGGCTTTGCCTTCTCAAATACACTGTAAGTCCCTTGAGTTCTAGGACACATCTTGTGAGTCTCCCACAGAACCTGGCTAAGTCTGAGAAACTCAACAAATACTGAGAGCTGAAAAACAAGAAAGGTGGAGGAAAGGACAAAATTACACCCACAGAAAAGCAAGGTAGTTCTACTAGCACTGGGTTTCGACTGCATAAAAGGCATCAACAGCTCCAAAGTTGGCTTCAGAGATCAGAAGTCAGGGAAGAACACATGAACAGAACAAAGCCCGTTCAGACAATGGCTCCTATAGTGAACTAAGCTAGAAAGGGCTGCACAACAGACAGGAGAGGGTCTGAGCTGTGTGCAATACCCAGACCTCAAGCTGTCAGAGGAAAGCAGTTCCCAAGGATGCAATGTGGCATCTCTGATTCTCCTAAGAAAACGCACTTAACACACCATGGCATTGCAAGCTATGTCCCAGGACACTTCCGGTATTTCAGCAGGCTTCCCACTCAGTCCAGTCAGTGGCTAGGAAGACAACCAAAACACAGTGAGGGCCAGCACCACAGCTCTCTAGGCTAATCTTCCGTCTGCGGCACCGGCACCCCAGATTCTAGTCCCGGTCGGGGTGCTGGATTCTGTCCTGGTTGCTCCTCTTTCAGGCCAGCTCTCTGCTGTGGCCCAGGAAGGCAGTGGAGGATGGCCCAAGTGCTTGGGCCCTGCACCCCATGGGAGACCAGGAGGAAGCACCTTGCTCCTGGCTTTGGAACTGCGCAGTGCGCTGGCCGTAGCAGCCATTTGGGGGGTGAACCAACGGAAGGAAGACATTTCTCTCTCTCTCTCTCTCTCACTGTCTAGCTCTGTCAAAAAAAAAAAAAAAAAAAAAAGTGAGGACTGTTTTATCTGACTTCAAACCCCACATCTACGCACTTGTTAATTTTTCTCATCACAACTCCCAACCCTAAATCTGAGACTCCCTTATAGCCCGTGAACCCTAGCTTTTACTTATTCCAAATGGGATTAAAAGAGATCAAGGCCATACATAGTCATGGGAGCTCTCTTCCACTGAAAACAAAAGTCAGCCTGGGGGGAGAGTACAGTTTTTGATGTATGAGCACCACTGAGACGAGAATAACAGAATACCGAGCTAGCAATCATCTCTCTACTCAACTGAGCTTAGAGTCAGGCTGAGAGAGTCACAGACAGGACGGCTAAGGGAAGAATGGATCGACTTCCAGTGGCTCCACATCCCGTGGAAAGGTCACTCTCTGTGCTACAATGCAGAAGAGAAGGCTGAGTTAAAAAGCATCATAGTTACAGTCTGGTCCAGTCTCACGCATGAATAGGTAAATATGACCGTGTGAGGTGACATGTCGGTCACTAGCAGAATGAGAGCCAAAGTGTCCCCACCCCATGGTCAATACCCTTTCTGCCATCATGTACTCTAGGACAGAACATTTTGGCCACTTGCCACATACAGGATTTCGGGCTCATGAAGCTGGCACTCTATCAAAGAAGGTCCGCGTTAGAATACCTAAATCTGCTTGGAGGCAGCAACTGAGGAGCGTGTAATTCCTTCTTGAGAATGAGAAGAAGAAAATGAACGGCTACACCAACCTGAGACTAGCCCAGGACCCACCAGCAGGGCCTCCACGGGACTTCCACCAATTCCAAACTTCTTCCACTGAGAAGACAACACTCCTGCTGGAAGGCAGAATCTCAACGCCAGCCGGCTGTTTGGAAGCAGTGGGGACAAGTGAGGGCATGCGCCGGATCAATCGAAATCAGGGCAGAGCTGAAATAAATACAGTCTGCAGCCAAGTCAGGCAGGGGGGTCCCGCGGGCACAGTCCAGCACCAGGCTCAGAGACGGCTCTGAAGAGCCACAACAACCCTGGTAATGGAAAACGGGCCGACACTCACGATTTCTTGATGACTTTGAAGACAACTGAAGGCGGAGAATGAGGAGTTTTTTTTTTCCTCTCGGGTTTTTCCAACTGCAGCCTCTTTTACACAGTTGGTTTTCAAGAGTCTGCAACTGAGTACTTTTGTTTACTTTCCGATGAGCTCCCTGAGGTTTGATTGTTGATGTCTGCCCAAGTCAGTGATTAGCATTCTTTTCTTTAACTTTTATTTATTTACTTGAGAGACAGCAGAGAGAGCTCCCATTCGCAGGTTTACTTCTCAAATGCCCACAGTGGCTGGAGGAGGAGGGGGGAGGGACAGGACCAGATCCGAAAGCTGGGGACTCAATCCAGGTCTCCCGCAGGGTGGCAGAGACCCAACCACTTGTGCCATCACTGCTGCCTCCAAAGGTCTGCATTCACGGAAGCGGAGTCAGGAACCAGAGCCAAGAAGCAAACCCAGGACCTCCACTGTGGGACACGGGTCTCTCAACAAGCGTCTTACTTAACCAGGAGCCCCTACACCTGCCTTAGTGATTCGCATTCTGACTCCAATTCCTTCTTCAGAGTCAGCCAAAGGAGTCCAAGAAGTTGGCCGTGACGGCTCTCTGGGAACAATAGGCTCTTTCTACAGAATACAGGTTTGTCTTCTTTTTCCAGTGCCCAGGAGCAGGTCCCCTGGCAGAGCGGTCTAGCTGACCGCACAACTATGCACTGCAAAGCAGAGAGCTCCAAATGAAAAAAACCAAGCTGCAGCTCACACATTCAATGGAGTCAAACTCTCACCTCCAACTTTACTTACAGACCTCAAGAGGTAAATTACAGGCCCCATCCGAGAGCCAGCAGTCACGCCCATGCAAGCAACCGTCCTAGAAATGCTTGACTCTTTATAGGCTGGGCCCAGCAAGGCAACTGGGCTGTATGAGGCTAGCCATGTGGAGACTCTCCCACCTCTCCACCTGCTGATTGAAGACTTCTGTACTGCTCAGTTCACACAGGACTCTCTGACCTGCCCTGCTCACCAAAGACAGTCCAGGGGGCACTCCTGTTTCCTGAGCATCTAACCCTGTGATCATCAGAAAATTCAGTGCCCATCTAGTAACCTACAGGTAAGGAGGCCAGCCCACCACAGTCCCCCCAGAATACAGAGATTCAAATTACAGGGTACTTCAAAATATCTGTGGGAAAAATGTAATCGTAAGACAAATTTATTTGGGTACGAAAAGGACTTTGAAATCCAGGCCTAGTTCATAAAGCACATTTTTTTATGTACTTTTTGAAGATTCCTTGTATGCATGGATCTCGAAATTATTTTGCATCAACATAAACGTATCTTTTAATTGCATAAACTTTATGAAGTACCCTCACACCAGACTCCCTTTTCTGTTTTTGTTCAGGATTGGATCATGAAAAACAATCTTGCAATGCGATACAGTCAGGTTTTCCCGGCAAAGAGACACGTAGTCCAGGCCCTGGTTTGCCCTTGACTACAGCAGGCAACGTCACCTCCTTATGCATCAGTTTCTTTGCATGTGCACAAGGACAGTAACGACACCACCCAGCTTTTCTCACAGGGTTATTATTAGGACGGAATGAGATAGCAAAAGCAAACATTTTAAAAGCTGCTTTACCAATGGAAGGCATTGTTAGGTTCATTCCTTTCACCAGTGTGGAAGCAGGGCCTGAGGACACAAGGCTGATGAACATCTGCAGGTGGAACTCATGCTGGGGGTGGGGGTCTGACCCAGCATGTAGGGTGTCCATGTCACAGAGTACCAGGGTTCAATTCCAGGCTCAGGCTCCTGACCCCACCTCCTGCTAATGCAGACCCTGGGAGGCACTGCTGATGGCTCAAGCAACAAGGTTCCTGCCACCCACAGGGGAGACCCAGATTGAATTCCCAGCTCCCAGCTAATGCCCCCTAATCACTGCTGCCATTGCAGTCCTTTAGTCAGCAAACCGGAGTCCTCCCACCCTCCCTCCCTTCCTCCCTCTCTCTCTCTCCCTCTATTACATAAATAAAATTGAAAAAGAAGGAACATTTGATTTTTTATCATCTTTATTCTAAAGAGGGTTTCGTAGCTGAGCTATTATTCTATGTCCAAGGCCCTCTAAACATTTGGAAAACATAGAAGTTCAGCTCCAAAGGATGGGATTCCTACCCCTACAGCACCCTCTTTTTTTTTTTTTTTTTTTTTTTTTTTTTACAGGCAGAGTTAGACAGAGAGAGAGAGAGACAGAGAGAAAGGTCTTCCTTTTCCATTGGTTCACCCCCTAAATGGCCGCTACGGCCTGTGCGCTTCGCCAATCCGAAGCCAGGAGCCAGGTGCTTCCTCCTGGTCTCCCATGGGGTGCAGGGCCCAAGCACTTGGGCCATCCTCCACTGCCCTCCCGGGCCAAAGCAGAGAGCTGGCCTGGAAGAGGAGCAACCAGGACAGAATCCGGCACCCTGACCGGGACTAGAACCCAGGGTACCGGTGCTGCAGACGGAGGATTAGCCTAGTGAGCCGCGGCCCCGGCAGCACCTCTTTCAAAAGGCTCTTGCCTTCCCATCTCTGTGCTTCCATGGATATTAAGTACCCTTACACTGGAGCTAACCTGACTCACAGCCTGCTGCCAGGGGGCAGGGACAGGGTTTGGGTGGGCTGGTGGGAGCTTGGAATTGTCCTGCTTGCCCTCTGATCACCCTGGAACAGTCTTGAACCCTGTGGTTCAAGGAAACTATTTCCCTGAAAAGCTCCCCCGGCCAGGACAGTTGTAAAGGTAGAATTATTTGGGATTCTGCAGAGCTGTTTTGGAAAATGTGGATTTTTTTTCCATTTTACTTTGTTTTACTCTTCTTCTTGGAAATGTTAGTGTTTTAAGTTAAGCATCCATCATGTCCTTAAGTCAAACTACAGCACATCAGACCAACAAGTATCTTTTCAGCTATGCAGGCTGAGAAAAGTTGAACAACTTAAAGCACAGAGGCAGAACTGTCGCAGAATTGCTCCATTAGCCCATTGCGGATAATCTAATCTAAAGCTGCTCCAAACACAGCTGAAGGCCAGGGCAGAGAATATAAATACAGGAGTCAGATGCTGGCATCACGCCCCCACCCCAACAGATCCTCCAGATGATTTACAAAGGATGGGACCTTGCTTTCCACACAGCCTTTGGCTTTCAGAAAAAATCAACAAACTTGACCCAGTGGCCAGCTATCAGGACTTGTCTCCCACAGCTGGTGCGGCTGGGCCCCAGCCCATCTCGTCTCTCATTTTTGTATGACATTAATTGTCTCCTCTTCTTAGTACTTTCTTACCTAATGTAACAGCAACAGAAAAGGCCCGTGAACTCACTCCCCTTCCTCCTCCTCACTGTGCCCTCCACTTCCTTGTTTTCCTTCTTCCTCTGACCCACGCTGTCGTCCCCTCTAGGCGCTCATTGCCACTGACTGGTCCTGCCAGCACTCTTCCAACCTCCCTCGTTCACTCCATGAAGATTCTGTACACCTACTATGTGCCTATTTTCACATACCTACTATGTGCCACCACTGTGCTTGACAGCAGAGAAGGAAAAAAGACCGAGTCCCTGTTTGCATGGTGCCTACCCTATAATGTGAGACAGACAAAAAGATGAGGAAATAGACAAAATAGCTGCAAGCTGTAATAACTTCTATGAAAAAAACAAACAAGAGCCCGAGATAAAAGTTACAACTGGATGAAAATTCTTAGCAGTAACAAGAGAGCTTGCCTTCCTTCCTTCCTTCCAATCTCCCCCTTCTTCCTTCTGGCTTCCCTTCCCTCCTTCTTTCCTTTCTTCAAAACCTTAGAATGATATTTATTTTAGGCGTCATCTTTTGAAGTTTTTTTTTGAAAGGCAGAGAGAGAGGTCTTCTTCCATCTGCTGGTTCACTCCGCAATCACCTGCAACAGCTGGAGCTGGGCCAGGGCAAAGCCAGGAGCCAGGAGCTCCATCCACATCTGCCACATGGGTGGCAGGGACCAAGTCCTCATCACCTGCCGCCTCCCAGGGTGCCTATTAGTAGCAAGCTAAATCAGAAGCGGAACGAGGATTTGATCCCAGGCATTCTGAGATGGGACGCCAATGTTCTAAGCAGCAGCTTCATCCATTGGACCACTGCGGCAACCCCCAAATGTTGAGTCTTAACTCTTCTGGGGCAATTACCTACTTCTTCCTCAAGTTTCCTTCCAACCTTAAAACTGAAAGAAATTACACACTGAAGATCATCAATCCCAACTCCCACCCACAGCGTTCTCCAGCTCAGACCAGTCAACCACCCAGAAGGGAACGCTTCCTGTCGTGATGGGCAGGTGCAAGGCATTCTGGTCGGCATTCATCACAGTCAAAATGCCTCCCACAGCTTCACATGCATTGCCTCTCACTGGGGCTCTTGGGAAGTGAAAAATAACTGAGTAGTTAACTGCACAGTGAAAACCCGGCCACCAGATTAATACCCAAACAAGGGAGAGTATGGAGTTGTATTTTAACCTCCCAATCTCACTAACTTACTACAGGGGCTGGCTCTGTGGTACAGCAGGTAAGGCCTCCACCTGCAGTGCTAGCATCCCATACAGCACCGGTTCAAGTCCCAGCTGCTCCACTTCTGATACAGCTCTCTGCTATGGTCTGGGCAAGCAGTGAAAGATGGCCCAAGTCCTTGGGCCTCTGAACCTGTGTGGGAGACCTGGAAGAAGCTCCGGGCTCCTGGCTTGAGAGCGGCACACCTCTGCTGCTGTGGCCATCTGGGGAGTGAACCAGAGGATGGAGGACCTTTCTCTCTCTCTGCCTCTGCCTCTCTGTAACTCTGTCTTTCAAATAAATAAGTAAATCTTAAAAAAACAAACAAACAAAAAAAGACCTGCTACAAATCTTAATTATTCATCATATTTCTTCTGATCCCTATATATGCACATTCTTTTAAAACTGTGACTAAAATAGAAAAAAAAAAAGACTCATAAAACACTGACAAATGCAAAGGCTAGCAACAGGATTGTTTTCCTTGAAACTCACGGCTTTTCCTATATTTCAACACTTTTCTCTCAACCAGCTTTCAGTCCAATAATGACTTCTGGGTCCTATCTTTCAATACTTGCACCAGTACTATGTTCCCTTTCTCTATTTGTAAGTACAGGCCTTCCTTTCCAAGAATTCTGACTGAATTCATTTTTTCCCTAATTTTCCAGAGGAATTTCTGACATTTTCATGCTCAGAATATCAACTGCATACATCTTTTCCTCTTAAGCTTCCTACTAAGGCACCTCATGAAGAGCCACGTTCTTTATGGGCTATTGGACAGGCTCTGATGGCTGTTCCAGTGATTTCTGAAGCCAACCTTGCTTCTTCTTCAAAGGGTACATTTGTACACCTGTACAATTTTTTTTTTTTATGTTCTTTTGCTACCACAGGATCATGGCGTGAGGTGAGGGAGCACTTCTCATGTCGCCTGGCTGATCTGTTCTAATTTGTTATACCCTGACTACTGTCTATTACACACAACTTAAATAACTTCTCAAGTTCTACATGTTTGATACCACATCACTCACTCCTTAGAAGACTTCCAGAAACTAGCTAACAAGCATACAAGGGAACTTCAGAGAATTATAGAAAAATTGGAATTAAAACAAAATCTAACTTTTGGTGCAAAAAAATTTTGAAATCCTGAAGCTGACACTGTAGCATAGCGTGTTAAGCTGCTGCCTTGGATGCCAGTATCCCATATGGGCACCAGTTCATATCCCAGCTATTCCACTTCAAATCCTGCTAAAGCACCTGGGAAAACAGCAGAAGATGGTCAAAGTACTGGGGCCCCTGCCACCCATCGGGGAGACGTGGAGGAAACTCCTGGCTCCTGGCTTTGGCTTGAGCCAGTGCTGGCCATTGCAGCTAACTAGGGAGTGAACCAGCAGATGGAAGCACGCTCGCTCGCTCGCTCGCTCTCGCTCGCTCTCTCTCTCTCTCTGTAACTGTGCCTTTCAAAGAGATAAATAAATCTTTTTTAAAAGCTTGAAACTCACTCCTAGTTTTTCCATTATACACACCTTCCAGGAACTTCTTGCAAACCCCTTGATTAATGGTGAGTGGAAAGCCTGAAGGTAGGAACTGTCCAGATGTCTTTTACAAACCAATTCATTCTGGCCACCCTGGGGTACCATACAGAAAGATTTAACACAAATTTTCCAAAAACAGAAACACAAACAGGAGTTGAAACTGTAAGAACTGCAGAACATAAAAGGGCAGGACAGGTGGGGGCAGGCCAATGAACTCTGCTGTCCACAAACCCCCACGTGATTGCCATGAGCTAAGTCTTGTCTGCCCTGCTTTAAGCTCTCAGCTTCTCTGGCCTAAAGTGTTCCATGCATATCGCCTCCTCCTTCCCCCTACACAAGGGTGTCAAGTCCCCATCTCCCATTCCAAACCACCCATCACCCCAGTGCCCCCAGATCTAACTGAATCTGCTACCCATGAGGCCTCCAAGCTGCCTGTCCCCGACCCCTCAGCATGGCACTCAGGCACCCCGCAGCCCCCTCATCGTCCCCTCTCATCTCGACACTATCTACATACACAGTGCTGTTCCGGGACATTCTTCCCATAAACCATGTGTTTTCACTCCCCTAGCTCAGGTCATTCCCAGAATACAGTCTCTTCTTTCTATGTTGTGCACTTCTCTGCCTTAACCCCTTCAAGGCCCTTTGGAAAGACAGTATGACCCAGGCCTGAAGTCTGGGTTACATCAAGCAGACCCCTCCCAGCCTTCCTTCAGCACTCAGCATGTGGCACAGCTATGACAGGGCTATCTCCTCTTGTCACAGGCAGGTACCCCGGCACACAGTAGGTGCTCATTAACTGCCTCAGTTCTGCTACTCAGCCTCCCCAAAGAACACTACTCAGGAAGACAGGACACATCTTTGTTGTTCTATTCCAACAAAAGGCCAAGACAGATCTGGAA